TTTTGGGCCTAAAATACAAACTTTATTTTTTAAACTGTTGGGCAGGCCTGATTTTTCATCCACATCACTGTCATGCGATGATAGGTATAACCGATATATTAAATATTTACTCTCTCGCAAGGGTGCTAAAGAACATGATTTCTAATATTTTTTTGACACATTTCTAAACAAATTATGATCATTAAAGATCATATATTATTAGCTATAGATAAAAAAAAAATGGTAAAGGTTAGAAGACCACAGCTTACATAATTCAAAGAAAGAATATAATAAAAGAATTTCCCTCAAGTTTTCTTCAATTTCCTTTGTGTTCAACATCATGACAATGCAATAGCAAAAAAGAAAAACACCATGACAATGACAAGTTGGAAGGATACGGAATTCAATTAAGGGTAAAACAAAGCATCAGTCAACTCTGTGCATATTTAATGTTTAGAATTCATAAACAAACCGAATTATTCAAATTTAGTTTGAATTCCACTCGTTTTGAGCTTGATATTTAGAATTGATAATTAATGATATCTATCTAATATTATAGGAAGTTGAATTGTCAATTTCTAAAACATAAACAACAATTAAGATTGATTTAATCTTCATTTATTTTGATCCATTGATATAAAATTCATCTAAAAAAATATTTTTTGCCCAAAAATATCAAATTCTCTGTATGACTTGCATGTTATACAATTCGATCAACACACTCGTTAATGTCAAATAATCTCATCAATTCATGCATACCTCTCTCTTTATTTTAATTTTAAATTATGTAATTAAAAAATATAAATTATTATTTAAAATATAAATATTATAATACAGTTCAATTTTTTATATTGTATAATATCTTTGAAAACAAGATTATTGCTAATTATATTACATATATAACGCCATTGCAATAAGAAATGAGTAGAGAAAAATTCATACGAGTGCGAACAAACACCAACGCTATTTTTTTCTCCAATCGCAATCGTGGACAATTCAAACTTCAACAATGTCAATGACTAGAATAGTTTAACTTCAAGAAAACAACAATGGAAACCAGGACCACACCTTGTGTGAGGGAGGGAGTGAGAGAGACATTATTATGGGTGGAGTTTGAAAGCTCTTTCTTTATTAATTTGAGAGAGACAGAGAGAGAGAGAGAGGGGCAAATCCTTCAATAGTAATATTTTTAACTTTTTCGTTCCCGCTCTCTCAAGATCTTGTGCAGCTCGGTTAGGTGAAGTGACTTGGAAAATTTTGCCACCACGGCCCATGGGTATGGAGAAGTGGGTCCACAATCTGATTATTTCCGTTAATTAGTTAGTACATTCCCTTAGTTTTCTTTTTCTAATGCTATATTGATTCTGATGGCGTGATTTATGCAATTGTGCGACAGAGTTTGGGGCTCAAAAAAGTGGTAATAGATTGGAGATTCGTAAGGGACGTTAATGGAGTTCATTGGAATACCTAATTAGAGTTATTAGGCTCTCAATGGTTAAACACTTAACAAAAAATTAATAATCGAGAATGAAAATTAACAGATAGGGGGTTTATAGTGGTTCGTTAATTTGAAAGCTTGACTAATCCATTCTAATAAAGTCTTTCGCTCCTGGGGAGTTTTCTATTGCTTAGAGAAGATGATTACAATGACCCTAAGAGTCAATGTACATATATTCGATCATTTACAATATGAGGGATTGATTCCTATTTATCGTGTGCAGGAGTCTGGTTCTTGTGTAATCAACGTGAATTTTTTAGAATTGTTATAACCTATGTGCAATAATATTTAGTCGTTGGAGACTAAATTTTCTAAATATGACGGGACCTTCTGAAAGGTGAGTTATCGTTGTCGTAGTATGCACGAGAGTTATGTTGACGCTGACTCTCAATTTGTTGTTTTTGAACTAGGAATCGTGAGCTGGAGTTGCAAGCTAGGCAGATATGAATTGAGAGTTCAGTTCGTTCACTCGACCCTAGTTCTCTAGACTTGGAACCTAGGTTCTGACGTTGTCATGTGGGTCCCTATTAGGAGTATGTCTCCGAATTATTTCTAGGTCGAGCTTAATCTTAGATAATTTTTTATGTCTATCAAATTCAAAAATAAAATAAAAGAATAAGACAAAATGATGTGAGATTAATATAGTGATATATTTAATCCTATTCCTATTTATTTAATTTTATTTACAACGTCAACACCATTGTATTTGGTTCTATTTTGTTCTTTTTTGTTTTATCAGTCTATACTAGTCTTACTATTTATATGAACAGTCTAATTGCAAAGCTTTCGATCGACTTGGCATAGCTGATGCCACTAAAAAGTTCGTAAGAAGACCCCAATTAGAAGATTTTATTGTAAGAGAGCAATTTTTTTTTTCAGTAGTCTGGGCTATTTGGACATACTTACACACACTTTGAGTAATTTATTTTTCGGTCTGGTCAAAAACACCAGCTTACATGCACTTTAAGTAGTTCTCTTTTCAGTTTGATCAAAAGCAAGTCATCTATGTCGGGACTAAGAGTATTTATGAAGATAAATCTCTCATGGTCTGACCCTAAAAAAATTATCAAGATTCAATTTTAGGATGTTTAATTTTATAATTCATTTATGTTACCACTTTAACTATCACCCAAATGAGAACAAATTTTACTAAGCCACTCGAAGCATTCACCGTTGAACTCTCTTTCTCTCTCCCCCTATTGTTTAAGACCTCTTTTTGAAGAGTGATGTTACAAGAATTTAATTTGGGGACCTACTTAGAGATCTAAATTAATGCACTTATTGGATAAGTAGTAAGTTTCAATGTTAAATGAAACTCATTTCTTTTTTTGGTTTAACAATTAGGGGTGTTCGGGCCAGCTTATGCGCACCTCGACTAATCTCCTCTCCAATCCAGTTAAAAAAAGGTCATTCACGCTGGGACTAATATTCATGAGGGATAAATCTCTTATATCAACATTCAAATTCAAAATATCTGAATTTAATGATTCAATCCAATGATTAAATTCAAATAATATTAGGTTGTCAAATTTCTATAACAACACAGGCTACCATGAGCGCCGACCCGACAGATAGATGCATAAGGAGCCCAAGCGATCTAGATCTGCATACTCCATTTATTAGTCAACAGCCTAACTACCCAGCCGACCATGGGCATTGGTCCCCGGTCTTCTATGGGCCGTTGTTAAATAATATCTCCGCAGTTGCTTAGTGTCATTCGAGAGTCTAATTTTTTTGTACTATTTTTTATCTTTGATAAAAGGAAAAGAAAGAAGGGGGTCGAATTAGGCTTCCTCCCTTCCACTGCATAGCTGTGATAGCGGGTATTATGAGCCCTCTATTCGACACATCTCTCCGATGTCCAGCTTGCGTTGTTCACTGATAATTTGATGAATTTGTCAAGTCAAGATCAACGAACGTAACAGCAAGAATAGTACATCACCTATTTCTCGTTCTCGCTCAAGAGCCAAAACGAACATGCTACCTATTGTACTGGGTCTTCAACCAGGCATTCTACCATTGTCGAAGAGAAACCAACACCACCTCACTACTGCATTAATGAAAGAGGTAACAAAAACTGGGCTCAAACTTGGAGCACAAAAACAGCACAAATCCTGAAATTTAAGGATGGGATAAATTAATGAGCAATTTCAAAATCCATACCATTCAAAACCCAGGCACAAGAAGACATAATCTCATTTTAACTTATGTCGAGTAATGTTACACCTATCAAAACTTTCATATTAGTCAGATGTGGAATCTAGTAGTTCTACTAAAAGTCTGTTTTGTACACAATGAATATTAGTGCATATGAGTTAAGAAACTCAATGATCGTTAGCTCAGGGAACAGCACAACATAAACCACCTCATATTAAGGGATGTTTAGTCAATAATCTTTCTGTCTTTACTCTAGTTATCGTTTTTAGATCATATTCTAGCAACATATTAATAATAAAGTAAAGTGTATAAGGCTCTTGTAATTATGAAGTCTAGGTCAAGTAAAAAAGTCTTATCTTTGTATGCGAAAGATTATTTGTATGACTCAAACTCATGACACGTGCAACGGATCAACCTAAACATCTCACCAAGACTCGACGTTAAACATGCTACAAGATGTACCTAATACAGCGTTTAGTTTGCTAGATTAGCTTATGAACTATTGCTCAAATCTACAAAAGGGGAAACATTATATATCCAAGCATCAACCCATGGCATAATGTCATGTTTCAACTGCACAAAACAATGGGCACCTATGCTGTTGTGAAATCATGAAGGTCACTTGATCTTACATGTTTTTTTTGATGTAATGAAACCGTATGCCCCTTTGGCAAACAGAACCGTCAATGGACTTTTTCCCACATTTAGGACACAACTATGATGTGAATGTCCACCACCTGAAAGACAATCTTAAACTTTTAGTTGTGTGGATGTTGTTGTATTCTTTTCTGTAACCATTATCTAGCATCATCTCTCTAATCTTCATTTTGAATGAAAACCTACACTCTATAAATATTTGTCTCAATGCAATTTTTTTTTTCAACGGTTAGGGTGTTCGGACTAATTTACATGCACTATAAATAATCCTCTTTTCGATCAGGTCAAAAGAAGATCATTCACGCAGAGATTAGGGTATTCATGAGAGGCAAATCATTCGTGACATAGCCAAGGGATAAATACAATCTCTTTTGCATGAGCACTACTTTTAAATGTTCATAGCTTGTCTTCTTTTCTCTGCACCACCATTTAAATCTGAATGCTTCTAATTGTTACGAGAGTGTTGGAATATGATGATGGTAAAAGCTTAAAGACAATATGAATATGATGATCCAATGGAAGGTTTTTACCAGCAAAGCAATCACATGTGGGTGCAAATAGAAGGAGAATCATTGAACTGAAACCTGAAAATGAAATATCTCCTATAGCTAGATGAGATTGAGAGAGTTGAAAGACAAACCTGTCTAGAGCTTTCCTCTTCTAAACAAGAAAAACAAAGAAAGAGCTGATTACATATATCTCTTCTCTTCTAATTTCTAAGCTTGTTTAAAAGGGCTGTAATAAGAGCATCCCTCTTCTCAGCTCTGACTTCTTCTCTGATCCTTTTTTGTTCTTCCTTCTCTCTCCACCTCCTATCCATCACTACCCTCTCATTTTCCAAGGCCTCCATGGTTTGTCTCCACTCCATCTCCTTCATTCTTCTCTCCTCTTCTCTTGCTTCATAGCCTTTCAGCCATTCCATCTCCATTTGCATCTGTTGTGTCATGAACTCCTCCAACATGTCTCTCAAACTACTGATATTTCCACTAATATAACTACTACTACTACCAGGGTTACTACTATTGCCCTTAATCTTCCTCTTCTTCTTACTGCTTCCTAATCCTTTCTCTCCATCACTGTCTTCGTCATCCTCATCATCTGAAGATAGCTGTGTCTGTGCCCCTTTCTTCTTTAACCCCTTCGCGCCGCTTTCAGCTTCAACCCATAGCATTCTTTGCATTCTCGCAGCAAAAATCGCTTGTAGCTCATTATAGAATGGAAACTGTTGGCGAATACCTGCTGGTTCCATCGTTTCACATCCCTATAGATCACAATGAAGTGACATACCAAAACCCATCAGCACAAAAACCTCATGATAGATAGTTCTTAATAAAACACACACACACACACACATGTATGCATTATTGTATTGACTGTTATAAATATGGACCTTGTATCGGGTAACAAGGTTTTTCCACTTGCACTTGCACTGTTCAGCGCTGCGATTGTAACCCTTTTCCTTCATCTTTGTGGAGATCACTTCCCAAAGAGGTTTGTTGCGTTTGGTTTCCATGAAAGTTGGATCGAGCTGGGCTCGAATCATCAAGAAGTCTCTTGTCTCTTGAATACTCCATTGAGGGAACCTATCACCAGCCGTATCAATACTAACAGAGATATGGTGACGACCCTCCATCACTTCGACCAAAACGAAGATAGGTAGATAGATCAACGGATGGAAAAAGATAGGTGTGGGGAGAGAGAGAGAGGAAAAGAAAGACTTATGTGGGGTGCTGTGTGAATCTAGGTGTGAATCGTCATAAAAAGAATGATTTCAATTGCGCGCCCAGGTGTCAAGGGGAGCGTTTTTGTTTGCTCCTTGAGTTTATCAGAAAACGAAAACCAACCAACACAAAACTTTCCCTCTTCCTCTTTCATTCTTTTCTTCCTGTCTACAGTCCCCCTCAGTCTCATCTCATCCTTCTACGCGGAAACTCATCTCTCTCTCTCTCTCTCTCTATATATATATATATATATATAGATTTATTTATTTATTTATTTATACACACACATAAACAAATGTAAATGTTTGACCTCCACATTTGTTCCCATTGCGTTGCAATGTCGTCACGCTTACGAGGAAGGAGAGTTTATGTATTTGAGAAAATATTGAGGACCACGGTGACGCGAGAATATGACAAGTAAATAAACAGTAATGTTATATTGGTTAAATTTTAGGATCAAATTTAGAGTTCAAATTCTGACTCAACTGTCATGTCAAGCTTAACTGTCATGTCATTTGAGCTCTAACTTTAATCCTAAAATTTGATCAATCTAACATTACTCGTAAATAAATGGATCTCAGATGTTATAATATTTACTCTTTTATATTATTTGATAATCATTCAAGTGCGATTTATCTTGTTTATTTATAATTTATTATTATACGGTGATATTACGTGACAGTGATGACGTGGTGTTACTGTTAAAACTAATATTTTACTCTATTTTATGTGGCTGGATTGATCTTAGACTTAATATATAGTAACTATATAATTAATTGTGAATTTCAACATTAGAGCAAGCTCACTATTAATTTAATAATTATAATTGATAAAGATGAAAATTAAGGTATGGGCCTCCATAATCCAAGAACCCAATAAGCCCAAGAACCCTTTGATTACCCAACAACACAAATAGGGGGGTCCACAGCTTGCACCGTCGGAAGTCTAAAAGGCCGGACCCGAGGAGAAAAAGCCCAACTTCACTAGAAGGCTTGCAACCCAACCTAACCCCAATCCTCTCCGATCGATGAGCAACCCATGGTAAAGAGGCCCAACCTGACACGAACTTCAGAGCACCCCGTTGCACCGCGTGTCATAAGGGCAAGGGGACCATCACTAACACCCCCAACAATCACACACTCCCGGGATGCAGTGTATTGGTGCGCATAACCATCTAGAAATCGTGGGAACAGTGGTGCCGAATGACAGAGATTGCTACAGAGTATAGACGAGGGACCAACGAAATAGACACAAAAGAAAAAGGAGCAACAGGAAATCCTAAAAAAGTCATTGTATAAGTAAAGAACTATTACCCAACAGAGGGACTCTCTCTTCTTCTTCATTATTCACGTTCTCAAGCCAAGGACCTAGCAATTAGAGCAAAACACACAACTCTCGTAAAGAACCCCCATGTCTGAATCATCATTGTACTCACCAAGGATTACGCAATATACGATCTTAAGGGATAAGAGACTCCATTACAATGGACGTAGCATTAATCCTTCAATTAAGGTAAACCACTTACATCCTGTGCTCTTTCAATCTCCTTAGATTAATAACCTAATCACAAAATCACACTCGAATCCTTGATACTTCATCGGGTGAGTTTGGGCCTTTATTTTCGAGCATCATCAATAATTATATAAAATTATAAATTAAGTCATTGGGAAAATTAGAAAAATTACATTTTACCCCATCAAGTATTGAATTTTTTGCACTAGTTTAACACAACTCAAATTAACAGACAAGTTTTGGAACAAAATTGTCCAAATATGGAATAAAGTACAAGTTTCTAATGTCTGGGATAACATAAAATTAATAACCATAATAAAAAAAACAAAACATAACAAATATGATAGTTGAAGGGACAGGACAAAATTGACAATTAAAATTAAAAATATAATGTGAGCAACTAAATAGTTTAATGCTCCGTTTGGTATGAAGGATGAAAAGTATAAGAGATACACTTTCTATCTTTTAAGGAATGAAAGTAAGAATGATACATTTTCCTTCCTTTGTGTTTGACTGAATGAATGGAAAATAAAAATGACTAATTTTTTTTTTGTTGGCTAAGATTAGAGGTGACAATCGTGTCATATCGTGTTGAGTTATTATGGGTTTATGTCAAACCTTAATCAAATTTAACTTAACTCATTTAATTAATTGTGTCGTGTCGAGTTGCGAATTGATGGTGTCAATTTTGAGATTGACTAGTTGAACTGAATATGAGCCTTTTATATTTTTTATTCTCGTCTCAGATCATTTTCAAGTTCGTGTAGAATTATAATCAAGTTTCTGTCATAAAATTCGTGTTGAGTTTGAATCGTGTCATCGTGTTGAGTCGAAAATTTTCATCTCTATCATTGTATTTTTATATGAAATTAATGTATACATAATATATGTATTTATCAAAAGATATATAGATAAAAAAGATACATCTCAACACAAATAATTAACATTACATCCACTTTCCTTCTTATTTTGGAGTGATTGATTTTGGTGAGTTGAAAAAAAAATTAATTCATTCACTTTTTCATCTTTTTTATTTTCATTCCTTATCAAATATGATGTTTTATTTATCTTTTTAACTTTTTATCTTTCAATTTTTTTCATCATACCAAACGGAGAATAAAGGATAATATGAGATAAGAGACTAAAGTATAATTTATTATTATCGTGTTACAGAGGATGAAATACTGAAACTGGTGTATAGAACATAAAATTTACATGAAAAATATGTACCACATCTGTAAATGTGTTATGCGAATACAAAGTTAAAGTATGTCAAAATTAAAAAGCTTATTTTAATTAAATTATTGTAGTAATTTGAAAAAAGTGACTTATATACATATTCATATATGTATATATTATACAATATAGAATGTGTAAACCGTGTGCTGGGGTGACAAAAAGAGAGGGAAAAAAAAACTTGGATATTGATAGTGAAATCTCCAATGTGCCCTCTAAATTTGATCATGGATTTTGACCATCTAAAGAAGAGATATGATTATTAAATGTTGGATTGTTGTGGGCTGTCCAAGATTTTTAATCTAACCGTGTATGAATCTACGTGCGCGGTCAAGGCTGTCCACGTGGCCTATGCATAGGACTGATAAATAGAATTCATAATCGGGTCAAATTATTTGGGTTCAAATTATGTTTTCGTTTATTTAAGTATAGTCAATTATAGAAATCAATGATGGGTTTATGGGACCCACCTCTGATTTTTCTTTTATTTAATATGGAAAGCCATATGAATTTTATTGGGCTGACCACTGAAACGAGGCCCATGCTTTCCAAAATGCCTTGAGTTTTCAAATTCTTTCCATTTGTAGGCCCAAATCAAATAGGAGACCTTTTTTTGTGTGTGTTGTTTTGGCTAAAATATAACTGATGATACTCAAAATTTGGTGAAGGCTGAGCTTGGTCCTTTAACTTGTCCATCTAAATTCGAGCTATGCAGCTCACTATAAGCAACCAGAGGTCCTCAGGTTGGCTTCCCCTCCCTAGGCAACAATACCATCATGGGAAACAGCAAAGACGACAATTGACACCCATTAAAGTGCTACGTATAAACTGCAACGGTCCTGTATTTAGGTAAGAGAGTCGCAACTGTCTCAGCGCTATTCACGATAATTGCATAACAAACGCATCTTTTATAAAGAAAAGATAAGGATCACACTAGGAAATCAGGCAAGGCCCTGAAAAATTATAAATAAGAGGCATGTCTCTCACAATGTAACAGAAGCAATCAGTCTGAACAAATATTCTGCTTAATCATTTCCTTTATCAATAAAATCTTTCCCCGAGAGTAAGAGACTCACTTAAGAGTGGATTAGCCGAGCTCCTGAACTGGTGAACCACAATAAATTCTCTATTTGTAATTTCTTACCACTTGTTCAATTCTAAATAGCCTAGGAGCTTTGACTAGATCACCCAATAATTCCTTGACTCCTTAAAATCACAACCTTGTTCAATTGAGCTACACACACCCAAAGACGAAGCCAGGATTTTTGTTTATTTAGAGCTAAACTAAGCATTTATACGACTAACAAAATACAAATGTAAACTCATAAACATATATTCAATAATACAAATATAAACACATAAATACTTACTAATAAAATTGGATTCTTCGATCCTTCATAGAACAAAAGGCATCTATTATTGAATTTATATCGATTGCTTTCGTTATTTCTCTTTCAATTAAATTCTAAAATACCTCAATTGTAATTTTAGTCTAGGGCCCTGAATAGTATTGGGCCGCCCATGCATGATACTCAATTTTGATATCTTGCAATATTAATCATTCCAACAAACCTGATGTATTTTTCTCAGGGCAGATTTACAGTGGGGGCCTACTGAAATTTTGAAAATTTTTAGACTACATTTAATATTTTTTTAAAAAAATTAGTTTTTGATAATTTGCCCCCACTATGAAAGCTGAAAGAAATCTACTTGACATAATTTGAATTTTTTTACATAGTGATTTACAGAAATTCAGGTGTACTTGTCCATGGAAGATGGAGGTGCTGGGTTAAAGATGAGTGTTCTTTAGGCATGAATCATGTTTGTCTTATGTTTTGGAAGTGCAAAAAGCTGTCCAACATAAGTAATAGGTTTTATACTTAAATTTGACCTAATTTATTAACCTAATGATACAGTTTAATTGTAAATATTATATTAACACCAAATTTTAATGTTTAATATGCCCCATAACCAATCCAATTATTATAGTAAATTATATCAACAAATTAAGTTCCAATAACATTGATTGCCAAAAAAATAAATAAATAATAAAAAAAATTACATTGATTGCCCAGATATATTAGCAAGTGACATTAGACTAGTGAGCAATAAAGCTTACTCTCGAGGGGTTAAATCTACTAGCTTGAGCACCAATTTTTCCTTACCCCTCGACAAATCATGTAATCAATTCAACCTATGTCCTCTCATTTTTCTTCTCAATCGACAATGATAATCTTAGATTTATGGTTCAATTGAAGATTTAAAGATGGTTAAGTTTTTGGTTGGCTCTTTTCGTACATCATTACATGGGTTAGGCCTTCCCTGAATATTTTTTAATGATAATATACTTATACAAATGATTAAAATTTATTTATTTTCATGAAAATAGTACTAAATTTATAATTTAAATTTATTAACGAGTCTAAGTTGCCCCCACTTTACAAGATTTCAGGCTCCACCCCTGATTTTTCTCGAGTATAACTATCTAACTTAGGAAGAAGTTGAATTGGGCCCTTGGTGCCCAGGCCAATCAAATTTCACTTCCCATCAATCAATTTACGCATTGTAATTAATTTCTACTCAAAAACACAATTAACATAGAGAGCGAAAACGAACGAGGTTGTTAGTGTGTCTAATCCAACCCACTTCGCCTCTAATATTGATAAAACATTAAGGTTACAAAAAATATTATGTGACCTCTTTACAACACCTAACCTAACATCTTTTTGCGATTTTTTTTGTCGAAAAAAAAAAAAATCCTTTTTTAAAATCAAATTCCAAACTAAGGCTTTCCTCAACCTAATGTTTCATGATGTCACATCCAGTGAAAGAACTGTCCATGACTCAGGTGGGTCCGTTGTGGGACATAAGTCGGCCCACAAAAATAAACCACTTTCGGTTCCTCGGGCCACGGATGGGCCACATTAGTGGCTAAGGCCACCTTGATTTTCACTTAATAGCCAATTTTTTTTTTTATTGCATAAATAGAAGAAAACCCCATCAACCACTCTTTAAGTGCAAAAATAGGTAATTTTTTTTTATATTAAATCAAAAAATAATTTGAATATATATAATTCATTTTAACAAATGGTACAAATGAATTCCGAAGTTATTATTCTATTTTTTTATTCAATGGCCAGAAATGTTTGAACCAGTTTACAAACAGTTCGATTAATCTCTTTTTCGGTTCGGTTAAAGACAGACTATCCACGTCGGGAATAGAATATTCATAAAAGATAAATCTTTAATGACCTACTTCCAAAAAGTTGTCAAAATTATAATTTAGGATATCTGAATATCAAGTCCGTTCTTATTATTATTTGAGCTATCACTTGAAATTAATTCCAAAGTTTTTATTTGAGACATCCTTATCTTTCCTAAATCTCCAATTAAGCCAACTTCAATTAAAATGATTTTATGAACAAATTGGAAATATGCCAAAATATTTTTGTTTCCAATTCCAAAATTTTCCAATATGCCAAAGTTGCATGTCCCAATTTCAAAACACAAATATTCCTTAGCCCCCCCGTCATTTTGTCTCTTTCCCAAAAGTGTATGTCAAAATGCCCCCGAGAGAAAAAAATTAATAGATTCCCCGAAGAATATAAGTAGATCCAACACCAAAACCCAAACCACTCTGTTTCCTTCACTGTCCCGTTCCGATGGTTCAGTTAGCCGACAAAAACCTCACAGCCAGCAACAGCAAGAAATGTAATTCTCTCCTCCTTCCCCCCCCCCCCCCCCTCTCTCTCTCTCTCTCACACACACACACACACACACACACACTTTTTTTTTTTTTGGAAAATCTCACTTTGTACCTGAAAATTTTAAAATTTTTTATTTTATATTTCCAAAGATTAATTTTTTTGTATTATATTCTTAATATATTAAAATAATTAGTTTATGTTGCTTATTCTGTCAAAAATACCCCATTAATATTAACTGAATGAGTAATGATAGCTAACGAAAGAGTTATATTACAATACTTTTAATGCATTTAAAATATAATTTACAAAATTTAATCTTTAAAAGTATAAATGTAAGAATTTTTAAATTTTTTTGGGTAAAAAATGTAATTTGCCATTTTTTTTTTGAACTTTTTGGAATAAAAAAAATCAGGAAAGCTCCTCATTCTCTACGAACGATCTGAGCCGTTAACGTACACTCCAGTAACGGAGAACCCCTTTCTCCCTCCCTCCCTCTCTCTCTCTCTCTCTCTCTCTCTCACACACACACACACACACACACTGTGGAATTTACAGTCAATTTTTGCTCGACATCTCTGCCTCGACCTCTTTTCTCGTATCTCTATTCGTAATGATAGGGTATTTTCCTATGTGTAACCCTAGTTAGTGTTAGGGATAGGCTTTTGGGGCTCCTTTTCTGTTCAAATCTGGACTCGATTTCATGGGAAACTGTTGCAGATCCCCGGCCGCTGTTGCCAGAGAAGACGTAAAGTCATCAAACTTTTCCGGCCACGGAGACGGACGGAAAGACAAGTCCTCCGCTGCTGGCGCTGGGAAAAAGACGATCACTGTACTAACTGACGTGTCGAAGGAAAATATCGAGGAGAAGTATTTAGTTGATAGAGAGCTCGGTCGTGGTGAGTTTGGAGTGACTTATTTGTGTATCGAACGCGATTCGAGGGAGTTACTGGCTTGTAAGTCGATTTCGAAGCGGAAGCTTCGGACGGCGGTGGATGTGGAGGATGTGAGACGAGAGGTAGCGATAATGAAGCATTTGCCGAAGAATTCCAGTATAGTGAGCTTGAAGGAGGCTTGTGAGGATGATAATGCGGTGCATTTGGTGATGGAGTTATGCGAGGGCGGCGAATTGTTTGATCGGATTGTAGCCCGTGGGCATTACACGGAGAGGGCAGCGGCAGCGGTAACAAGAACGATTGTGGAGGTCGTGCAGCTATGTCACAAGCACGGAGTGATCCACAGGGACTTGAAGCCAGAGAACTTTCTGTTTGCGAATAAGAAGGAGAATTCACCTTTGAAAGCCATTGATTTTGGGTTGTCAATCTTCTTCAAGCCTGGTAAATAATTTAGATTGTCACCGGATGCTAAATCTATTTACGTGAAGAACGAAGATATGTTAAAACTTGTTGCTCATTGTTCAGAACATAAATGGCACTTCTATTTGTCGGATTTATTGTTTCTTAGATTTAGATATCAAAAGACATTCTGTAGTTAGATATGATGGTAAGATAGGTATGATTGCTTATGAACTTTGCGTTTCTTGTTGCCTGAGTTTGAGTAGTTTTGCAGGCTCATTTAGGGCACATATACTGCTAATGAAGTCACTTGTCAATTATTCACACTTCAATATTTGAAATGTTCTGTGCCCTTTGCTTCAACTTGACAAAGGTTTACCAACTGCAACTCCAAATCATGCGGTGTTTGACTGAACCTGAGTGCCCATACTACATAATCCTCGGTACAGCTCACATAAGATGCTTTTTGGTCCTTGACAACGATGAACGAATAAGTGAACTGCACTGTCAGGGGTGATTGTCAAAAAAGTACATCCCTTGAACTCACCCTCTGGCTTTCTTGGCATCGAATTGATTTTTCTTGCAAATTCATCCCAAACTTCCATAACACCATTCCACCACATGGTCGGAACTGAATGTAGGCATGCGCTACCCCCTTCTCGTCCTTCACAAATCACCACCATGGGTTCTATGAGATATGAGAAACTCATTCTCATTTCAATTGAGTGAGGCCCAGTCTCTTTAAAATTTTGCACAATGTCTCTTGAAATCTGAATCTAATAAGGAATCACATCTAGCTTTGGAAGGAATTTTACCCTTACCCACAAGATACTGACTACATTTATGTATAAATTAGTACTGCAAAAGCTATGTTGGGTTTAAGTCATATTTAAAAAGGGATTTGGTGGGTTTTACTGGTTTATACTTACCAGCCAAAGAGGTATTAGTGCAGTATTGGAAGGTTAGATTGAGGCATATGAATTTTGAATTTCCTCTTAAAAAGTGGAGAATATATCTGGCTGAATTTAGAATGGACATGCTTCGCTATCAATTAGAATAAACCCTATAAAATAGATCAATAGCAATTTCTTTGCATAGTTTAGCTAAAATTGTTGAGCTTATGTAACTGGAATAGCCTTAGTTATGATGAGTTGCTCTCCAATTTATGGACATCTCGTTCCTACATTTTGGTCCCTGCTTTCACAAGCTTATCCCATAGCACTTCTATACTTCCCTTACTATTAATCCTCCCCTGTCACTCCATACTTATGCCACCCTTCCTGACAAGTTTATCCATCCACCTCATGTCTATAATGACTCCCCTCCACAACCCAATTAAAAGCCTGATTAATCACATTGACCTTAACTTGCCTAATGGCCCATTATTCTAACCAACTGCCTTTGCCCAAACTTATGGTACTTAAGACTCACCTTCTTGCTCACCTTACAGCAATTTCGGCTACAACTTCTCCACTGTATTAACCATTGTAGTGATTGGGACATAGAGATGCTAGATGGCTAATCACAGTGCTTTAAATCCACATCAACATGCCCCTTAGTTGATGGAAAACCTTGTCCAACATGCCACTTTCCTCTCAAAACCTTTCTATTGTAGGGTTCTAGATTACCTTGGCCACGGATGAAGTGTTAAAGAGGATACCTAGATGAATTGATGAACTTGGTGTTGTGAAAATGGAGAAGTTGTTTATTGTGGTATGCTTCAAAATGCAAATTGACAATGCTTAGCTTTCTTTTGACTGCATCAGCTAGGCACAGAAATTATTGATGGTGGACTACTTAACAAGACAAAGGGTCACTTTGGAGATTTGGATTCAGGCCAACCTGTAACCGGTGGCCTGCTATAGAGATAGCTAACTTCTCATAGTTTAGAAAAGTTTGATGGTGTGCGTGCTGTACAGCCTGTACTTATCTTTCACTGTCATGCCTATAAGTTGAAGTCCTACTCAACTGTTTGTGAGCCAATTCTGATGCCTTCCAAATAGGCTACCTAATACTAACATAGTTTCACGAGGAGAAGCAAATTGATTTATGAAACATAATTCACTGGAAATTCTACTTTATAGCAATATGCTTTTAAGTTCTAGTGTTCTACACTTCTAAACCTGCAAAATGTGTATGTTCTGACAATCTCTTTTTTAATACTAGTGAGACTATGTTGCTTGCAGATTGAGGCACAATATATGCACAAGGCTTATTTAGCATGGCACTATTTCTAATAGTTCAATGTCTCATTTGGTTGTTGCACTATTTAGAAACCTAGACGTGTTTATTTCCCACTGACGTTATCTAATACTAAATTCATAAATTGTAGGTGAGAGGTTTTCTGAAATTGTTGGAAGCCCATACTACATGGCTCCAGAGGTACTCAAGCGGAACTATGGACCAGAGATAGACATTTGGAGTGCAGGAGTAATCCTCTATATTTTATTGTGCGGGGTTCCTCCATTTTGGGCTGGTAAATACATTCCTATATCTTTGTGTGTGTGTTCGAGTTTCAGCGTTAGTATTTCTATATTATTATGTTTGTGTCACAATATCTCATTGGAGCCTATCTGTGGGCCACTGAATATGACTCCGTGATTATGTTTTGTCCTTTAATTCCTAGTTCTTTGAGTTTTGGCAGTTATTTTTGTCCTTTCAATGCAAATGCTTTCCCATGTGTCTAAAGCAAGCTTTTTAATGCAGAGTCTGAACAAGGGGTTGCACAGGCCATTTTACGAGGGACAATAGATTTTAAGCGAGAGCCATGGCCAAGTATTTCGGAAAGTGCTAAGAGTCTTGTCCGCCATATGGTGGAGCCAGATCCAAAGCTGCGACTAACAGCGAAACAAGTGCTTGGTATGTTAACTCTTATCTCTGCTTGCATATTTTCTTTGTTGAGGATGCATTGCATTTTGGAAAATTCGGCATCTTGTGAAGGACATGTTTCATATTGTGCACATACTAGACTTTAATTTGGAATGCAATTTTGGCTAGTCTTCAATTAGATAAGCTCCCGTGAATACTTGAATGTATGCACCCCTTGAATCATACTGGCAAACACACTACCATGACTAGTTAGATTTTTAGGAGTTGTCATGTTACACCTGTAATATATGTGACAGTGAGCCATTTATGATACAGTTCGTAAATCAGAGAGCACACCACACCCGTTTTCCACAGTTAATTGGTTTTATTTGGGACTTTTTCCCCATTTTTTGTTATACTTCAAATTGTACAAGTTCAGGTTTTTCTCAGTCTACCTATCCTTTTACTGCACATGGTGGGTCCAAGAGTATGTAATGGCCTCCGTCATTTATATTCCTTGTATAACTTCTCACCGTGGTTAGATTGCATTTATCATTTAAATGAAATAATGGATGAAAATAAATTTTTCTTATATTTCTAAGATTCAGGGACAAGTACAATGGAAGTTGCAATTCTGGATTAGTTTTATTTACTTTTGAAATGATTTTTGGATGATATATAGGGTATACTGAACGTAATGTTTTCTTGTAAGTAACCAAAAAGAAAAAAAGTTTGTATCACTGAAATAGTCATTTTAAATGTTGGACTTGAGGTATCATGTCAATATTTGTAAAATGTGGATTAGTTGGTATGTTACTGCTACCATTCAGCGTAGTGGACTGCTAAAGCTATGGTTAGTTGGGCCCCTGGTCCAGTTGTTTGTTTGGCAAAATACTATACATTAGCTCATTGTAGGTTTGGATCAAAGTTGATGATGTAGATCCAATAAAAGAAATATGGAATGGCAATCTACCCTCTTTGTATATATATATATATATACTAGTTATTCCTCGTGCCTGAAGATACGAAGTAATAAAAAAAATAGTCAACATATTTGTATTCACACCCAAAATTAAATCACAAACATAGAGAAGAAATAAAAAAATTTAAGTATTGTTTGTAATGAAGGTGGGCGGTGATAGTGGTGGTTGGCGACAGTGGTGATGATGGGAGAGTGATGGTTGTGGTGGGTAAGGCGATGATCGTGATGGTGGTAGCAGTCGAGGGTAGCAATGGTAATGGTAATGGTGGTGGTGGTGGTAAGATGGTTGCAGTGGTGGTGGTGGTGGGTATGATAGGGTGGCGATAGTGATAGTGGTGGGGGTGGTGGGGTGAGGGTGGTGATGGTGGTGGTGGAGGGGTGGGGGTGGTGGTGGTGGTGGTGGTAGGGGTGGGGACGGGACGGTTTCAAACACTTTTTTTTTTTTAAAGTACTTATGAAAAATAATTTTTAGAAGTACTTTTAAAAAGTTACTCCAAACACACCCTTAAGGGCTTATTTTTCCTATTAAATTTAGAGTTTTAATATTAGTCGTTAAAATAACTTTAAAATGAAATTTAAAGTGATCTCAATCGCGAATAGTAAAAATTATTTTGTTTATCTTTTAAAATTTGAATTGTATTATACTTTATTATATAGATAGAAATTACCCGTGCCTGAAGGCACTATAAAACACAAAAAAAATTGCAAAAGCCCAGGTCTCATCAAATTAAAAGGTGACATCCAACTTCTTATATATCAATTACAGAATATTTTGCGAGAAATGAAATGTGGGAATTATACAACTTTAAACCAATCACCCAATAGCTAATACATCAAAACCTAATAAAACAGCTCTCACCAATTTTTCAGTTTCACTAACATAACATAAAATAGTAGTCATGTTTCCACTAATTTTTGCATGATTTATGGAACAATGGATTGCCACTTTTTTGTTACCTAGTTCCCTCTGTCTATTTAATTCCTTTGAAGCACTTCGACTTTCAAAAAGTTGCATGATTTCAGCAAGTAAAACAAATATGTTGTATGTAGATGAAAGTCTAACCGGCAACTACCCCTTGATTTTTGCCAAGAGAATCGTGGGCTAGTTGAACCCATTGCTGAGTCCTAATCCTTACTGGAGCTTTTAGTGTGATGAATGTTGCTCACTACCAGAACGTAAGCACATAGAACAAATTTTATTCATGTGGCAAGATAAACTTACATCCCAATGGTTGAATAATTCCAAAATAGAAACATATTTCCAATACATTGTTCTTAGGAATAGCCTTAATTCCATGATTAAAAATAATTCAACCAATCTTATGTTGTTAATTCTCTAGTACCAATGGCATATTAATGACAAATGGATAAATTTATCCCCATAATCATGATTCAACAAACAACCAATAAAAATTTAATTACGTACCAAAACATATATAAAGGAGATAAACTATGAATAAGCTACCAAAACTACTATATCAAGGCTATTCTATAAAGTCAAAGAGGTAAATACGTGCAAACACGGAAAATTTTGATAAAGAGAAAATACAAAGAAAACCATCAATTAATATACAATTAATATGTGCAAACATGGAAACGAATGGAAAAAAAAAATTTACCAATTATTTTTCCTATTCTTCAATTAAATTTTCTTAGAAACCAAACAGAAAGTTTGGTAGATTCGCACTTTAGGCACCAGCAAGACTAACAACCAATTAATTACGATTTCACCTATTTATTACGGTAAACTAAACACAAGATTAGACCAAAGAATAACGTCTTCCATTATCATATCAAAAAATATCAAATTTTCATTAAATAAAAATCCCAGTTTGGTTGGTAAGAAAACATAGAATGAAATTTGAAATTCTATATCTTATGCATAAGGTGGGAACCTAGAAAACAACAAACTCAATAGTACAACCACATCTAACTCGCACAGTACAAAGATTAGAGTACAAATTTGTTTCCTTTCACGCATTGTTTTTAGCGACCATATGTGGGAAAAATATGCATCAGTTCTAAGAAAATTATCGTGCAAAAAAGCTCACTACAACCAATCTGATAACTATCTGAAAAAGAAAAACCATGATTAGTTCCAAATAATTAAAAACTTTGAATTTGCAAAACATAGAGAAGAAAACAAATCCAAAGCTCACCAATAACCAATCTGATGACCAACTCAAAATGGCTTGAACTTGAATGTGATGTGAGTGATACTCCCAACTAACAACTTCAATGCTATAAATACGAATAGAATTTGCATAACAGGGAAGAAAACAAAAATAAAAGGCCAAAAAATCAAATCAACTATAAAAAAATAGAACTTGATACTAAATAGGTATGATATACTAAAGTGCATATGACTTCAACAAAAAAATAGTCCACAAAAAAGAATCCCAAACTATGGAAAAAATAATAGGGAAAGTCAGTTAAATATGTAACATTAAATCATAGGGAAGAATTCTCAAATTTCACAGTTATTACCGCAGCTCACAAAGTTTCAACTGTGATAGATAGTGACATGGTCATGGTCTTCTCTTGTGGTATGTTGCTATAATTTTAATTTAAGTGTTCATGTTATTTGCAGATGGTAAATAAATTATATAAGCAGAGCATGAGCATAAACCCCTGTCCTCCAAACATTTTATGCAATATTTACCAATTCACTTCAGATGCACATTTGTTCACATAGTGCAAAGAAGGTAAACTTTTTAAATTCCAAGTTCTGAATCGAAATGTTTTAGCAAACATTAAAATGCTAAAACTTTCACTCAAAAGCAAACTAAATGAGAACCATAAGAGACAGAACTGTCTATGTGGCCAAACTGTGTAGGTGCACAACACAAAAAATTATCGATACCTATGAAAATATCAATGCCTAGACCGTGTATGTGTGTGTTTCGAGGGTGTTTCGCGGCAAATCCTAACAAACATCCTTAAGCAAAAATCGAAGTCAAGAATGTTGAGGACAATATCAATTTCGAAGTCCAAAATCGATGTTGAAATTTTTGAATTCAAAGTCGCGTGTATGTGTCGAGGGATTGGATGCTACTAATGTAAGAGAGAGAGAGGGAGAGAGTGAGGATACCAGGGATTTATATGCGTCGCTACCTTCGATGGCTTCAAGAATTCCTTATTTTGATGGCTTCAAGAATTGCTGACTTTGCAGTTTCTGGATCAGTCGAATGATACGAGGAAGTGCCCATCCCAATCATAAGAGCCTTTTCACCAGAACCTAATCTTACCTTAGGAACCATTGCCATGTTTTACAATCTCCCTGGTTCTCCAACAAAATTGAGTCCTTTGGGTTCTTCGATGTTTTCAAAAAGCAGTTTTATTACATGGACCACATGGAGGCACAGAGATGGAGAGGGAGAAGGTGAGAGAGTTACCTAACAGTGAATGATGGAGGCGCTAGGCACTCTGATCTGAGCTGATGCGTGGTCATCAGCGGCATTGTCACTGCTGGAGGGGGAGGGAGATGGGTGAAAGAAAGAAGAGGCAAAGAGAGGTGGGAAAGAGAAACCGCGTGAGGCATCACTGGTTGGCGTCAGCGATGGCTCCGCGAGAGCGCACTACACCGTTGTCGCTGGTTGCTGCTCGTTGGGGGAGATTTTGGGGTTCTTAGAGAACAGACCGAGAAAGAGGCAGAGATAATTATGTTTAGTTTCACAATTAGTGCTAGATATATAAGAAGCGAGATGGGAGATTTAGGAGAGATGTTTACAGGATAGATGAGATTTGGGTGGAAAACAAAATTCTGTACTCACTATAGTTCGTTGGATTAATATTTATGAGATGATTTGATCCGTCTTTTATGTTGGGATTACGTTGTCTGCTAGATGTGTTTATGTTTTATCTCAAAACAATCTAAACCTCTCTTTGTCTCCAAAATTCAAATTCAGCTCTACTTTATATATATATATATATATATATATATACACACATACATACATACATAGATATGTATGTGCGTGTGTGAGAGAGAGAGAGAGAGAGAGTCCAATGGTTCTGTATGGCAAACCAGAAACCTTACTCCCTTCCCTTCAGGCTTTAAGCACTAGAAGCTTCTGTTTAACCAAGCATGCTTGCTTTAAGATATGATGAATATTGGCGATTTGTGATTTGTATAGAATCTGGGATTCTTGTAGCTGAATAGTTTTTGTGTCGTTTGTATTTTGTATCGATCTTTCTATGAACTTCTCCTATGACAAAGCCATGTAGGATTTGTTCTATGCAGGCTAAAAGTTAAAAATGGGAGAGTTGGTCTAGCATTTGACCATTTATGTTGGATGCTTATTCTATCCCTAATTTGTGGTTTCTCTCTGCTCTCAGAGCATCCTTGGCTCCAAAATGCTAAAAGGGCTTCAAATGTTCCACTTGGAGATATTGTAAAGTCAAGACTTAAGCAGTTCTCGTTGATGAATAGGTTCAAGAGAAAGGCCCTGAGGGTTAGTTGATTGCGCTGTACCATTTGTATAATTTGTTTTCTTTTTATATTGTGCTGTGAAAAATTGATAATGTTCCTCTTTTATAGGTTATTGCTGATTTCTTGTCCACTGAAGAAATTGAAGGCATCAAGGAAATGTTCAGAAAGATGGACACTGACAATGACGGTATTATTTCAATTGAAGAACTAAAAGCTGGACTTCAAACATTTGGTTCACGGCTTGCAGAGTCTGAAGTGCAGATGCTTATTGAAGCTGTGAGTCTATTTGCTACCATGCCTGTCAGTCACTTGTAATTCACTATTATCTTGATCCAGTGGTTTGTGGAGGTGTTTTCCATTGTAGTTGTTTCCGAGGACATCCTTTGGTTTAAAATGTTTTTCCTTGGTCTGCATGATACAAATGTCGATGAATTTTCATCTAGGGTTGTATTTAGGGTTTTTTTAAGCATCCTGTTTCTTTCGAATGAAGGCTAAAGTTTGTTGTCTACAGGTAGATATTAATGGGAAAGGAACCTTGGACTACGGAGAATTTATGGCTGTTTCCCTCCATCTACAGAGGATGGCCAATGACGAGCATCTTCACAAAGCTTTCTCATACTTCGATAAGGATGGTAATGGTTACATTGAGCCAGAGGAGCTGCAAGATGCCTTGATGGAAGATGGAGCAGAGGATTGTACAGATGTAGCAAATGACATTTTTCAAGAGGTTGACACAGACAAGGTGAAGACTCGATAGTTTGCTAATTTTACAATTTTGAGCCTGTCAGATCTGAATATCATATTACTGTCTTCCTATGCAGGATGGTCGAATCAGCTATGATGAGTTTGTGGCCATGATGAAAACTGGGACAGATTGGAGAAAAGCATCTCGACATTACTCGAGAGGTAGATTTAACAGTCTGAGCATTAAGTTGATGAAGGATGGTTCACTTAACCTGGGCAGTGAGTGAGTTCTATGCATCACTGTCTCATTCATCCATAGTAGTGCGGCATTCATTCATCAAATATATTGGACTTGTTTCTTTTGTGATTATTTGTGGGGTTCTCTTGGTTAGATGGGTCCCCTTTTGATTGGTGGCCTATGAGGATCGCAGAGAGATAAGCATTTGTGATTTGCTGCTGCAAAATGTTGATTCTGTAGAAAACATCGCCTTATGGCTATACATGCAGCATGTATGATTCTGTCTTGTTTGCCTCTTTCAACTTTCTTTATTGTTTCTAGTTGACGCTGAGACACTCTGAACATCGTAGTCCTGTCAAAAAAATATGAATATCTTGTAGAAAGGGGGTGGGGTTCCTTCTTGTGTGTGCGCACGTCTTTCTTTCTGTTTTGTAAATACAATGATTCAGTCAACTACTGGCCACAGTTCTTTTTCCATTGTAATTGCCCACATTAACACCTATACGAGTCACTCGACATAACATCAATGTGAGGGTAGTGTATATGATGACATCAGGGTTGGTCATGTTATTGTGCTTCAGATTCTCTTAAAATTTTTCGAGTTGATTATGAAGATGTTTTGTTTTCGCGTTGCCTGTTTGATTTGGTTTCGATTTTCACTTTGCTTTTTTTCTCCGGCTGCCTTTTTTCTCAGCAGTTCCATGTTATCGTGGCAGGATTTCTTTTAATATCCCTAATTTTACTGGCCTAAGGTTGGTTTTATGGGACAGCAGTGGCTTGCTTTTTAATTTGTTCTACTAGAGTTGGTCCAAATGAACTTGATGATCACATTTGACGGTGCTGTTCTAGAGTTGCTTCTTCGTTGTAGTCCTTCCTGTTAGCGGCAATCAATCTTGAAAATAGTGTGTTTTGTCCTCTCCTCTCTTACTCCCAACCTCCTTTTTTTTTTTGTCACTATTGTAAAGTTCACAAGAGAGGGGTTGAGAAAGTTCGAACCCATAATTTATCGATCTAATTGCAGGCTGTGGGTCATTAAGCCACTGCTAACTTCTCTTATCCCCAACCTCTGAAATCTGAAGTAGCAGTGCCTAGACATGACCCTTTGATGGGATTTTTCTCTAAGGTTGATAATTCCGAACATGTCAATCCAATAGACACGAAATTACCGGTATGTGTTTAAACTCTAGGGTTTGGATTATAACTACTATAGATTGTCCCACATCAACATAACGGCCGTCTTCGAAATTAATGCATTGAGCCTTGTGGTTTTTACACTTAATTTTAAACTGGTTCTGAGTTGTGTACTTCAATAATAACTTTAGTATCTCATCAGCCTCTCTTAATAAATAGAATAGTACTAATCCAGTTATATATAATACAAAGTTAATTGTACACAATTTATATGCATGATGGACTACGATATGAATTACATTATGCACCATTATGAATGAGTTATGGATGAATTAAATAACACGTAACTCAGAGATTTTAGGTTTAACATTTTTCATACTCTTTTAGGGCTAACCACAATTGTTCTTTAGGAAACATGTTCTAATCTTGTTTGGACTACGGTGGTTAGTTTTCAAATTTGATGGAGTAGTTGACATAAATTTAAACATTCTGTAGCAAAAAAAAAAAAAATAGGAAAAATTACACTAGATCTCTTAAGGTTTGTCACTTATTCACCTAGATCTCCTCGCATTTAATATATTACGCCTAGATTCCTTGAGATTTGTGCACATGAAACACATAACTTCTCTCGCCAGTGTCCGTTAAGTTAACCGTTAAAAATTCATGATACAGAACATATATTTGTTTGTTATCATTTAAAAAATCGGTAATAGTGAGTGATTTATCTTTTTATTTTCTTTTAACAAACAGTGGAATAAGGAAACCAAAAAAAAGGGATGAAACACAACAAATATTTCACAAAAAAAAAAAAAAACCTTGATGTACAAAAAACTCTAATGAGAACATATATTTTAACAAAAACTTGATTTACAAGAACCCTAATTAGAATAGATTTATTTATTTATTTTTTTAATATTGATGTACCAAAAATCATGCCCTATCACATCATATATTCAGATTAACACCAATAATCAAACAAACATATAATTTATTTTAACAATGTCCTAATGAGTATGTTCTAACAAATCTGCAAATAACTAAAAACATACAATTAAAATTCTGAATTATTTTCTTAAAATTCGTAAAAAAATAATTTTTCAATAGAGATTGGCCAATTTTTAGCGGCTACCTTAACGAAGAGTGATGATAATACTTATATGTTACACGCATACAAATTTTAGAAATTTTAGGTGTAATATGTCAAATATGAGAGGATTTAAATGATTAAGTGATAAATTTTAAAAAATTTAAGTATAATTTATCCAAAAAAGAAAACATTCACACAATTTGGACCTAACACTACAACATCAATCAATAGGATCTTTGGTACAATGGTATTCTTTATCTTATAAAAATTTTACCTTTTTGAGATTAAAAGTTCGAATTTTCCTTCGTAAAAAAAAAAAAAATGCATCCGAACCATCCTTGGTTCTAATTTCTCTCACGTTTTTCAATGCACTATTTTGTTAGATATGTTATTTGTTTTGGCGTGCAGTAGTCCTTTACCAGCTATCTATCTATGTCGGTAAATCATTTAATTCTCGTGTTGTTTGGTACTACTCCAATGTGCCAAATGTTGCTCTCATAAAAATCAAAATTTGCATCTATTACTTTAAAAATTAATATTTTTAATAAAATAATATTATTTAAACTTAATTTATTGTCATAATCTAACACAAATATTGGATTGATTACGGTCCCATCAAATACTAAGATTCATTACTAATTCAATGATTATGAATAATTATGTCAATAAATTAGATTAGTCAATTAAGTAAGAGTAGCATTGTTCTAATTAGGGCGAATTGCACTTTGTACCTTTAAAAATTTTAAGATTCTCACTTTGCACCCTTAGTTTATACAAAAAGTTGCAATGTGACATTTTCGTTAGTTTTTTCGTCAGTGTCAATGAATTATACTTTAACGGAAAAAATAATGGAAGTTAACATAAGGACTATATTGTAACACTTTTAATACATTGAAGATGCAATATGAAAAATTTAATCTTTGATATTCTAATACTCCGTTTAGTGGAAAAGATGAAAAGTAGAAATGATGGAAAATAGGAATTATACATTTTCTATCCTCCAAAATAGGAAGATACACTTTTCTTTCTTTTGTGTTTAGTAGGATGGATGAAAAGTAGAAATGATAATTTTTTTTGTATTTGTATTAAT